AGAAATGGTGAGAGGTTAGAAGAGAGAGAGAGAGAGAGAGAGAGAGAGAGAGAGAGAGAGAGAGAGAGAGAGAGAGAAGAAATGCAGCACGTTGTAACGACAGGAAACCATGTGCTCGTGGACCACGTGAAGAATACTAATCTTCCCACTAACATTGACCCTCTAATATTAGAACGCACAGTTTTTAGAAGTGAAAACGAAAATCCATTTACACGAATTCTCTTTAGTGTTTTGATCGACTAATTTTTTTCTTCTTCTTTCCTTTACCTAACACGTGCTGGATGGTTACTATTTTTCATTTGGAAAATGAAAGGAAGTGAGAAAAGCTCCGAATCTTAATTCGTTTACTTTTTTTTTTTTTTTTCCTGGCCGCTGCTGCCGTTTCGTAATCGATGTCAATCGTAACATTGCAAATAACCCGCAATTACTCGGAGTCCACGTGGCGCTGCTGTTATTAATTTTAAATGTCATTGATCTCTTTTTTTCAATCGTAACCTGGGTATTTTTGGACATTGTCATGATTGATTTTTAAAGATAGTACACAGTCCTCTGCGGAGTAGTCGCGTGGCTGTGACGACGCGATCGATGACGTCACTATTTATTTCCCCTAATTGTCATTATTTTCACTCGGCTAATTCTTCGTCTTCACGTGTCTCTCGAGATCGCGCGATCAATCGAATGTCAAAATTTTTCGCGAAATTAATAAAATTTTTTTTAAGACCCACCACGCGGTCTAGTCCGATCGCCAATAATCGTCGTGCATTCACGTTACCCGCGAATCTTGGACCGGAAATCGCGATCGGCTCCGGGGACCTGTAACGACTCCTAACGAGTTGGCTACGCTCTTCCATTATGAGGATGTGGCTATTTGTTGCGAGTCTCTCTTTCTCTCTCTTTCTCTCTTTCTCTCGTACCGGAAGCTGTAATGAGCGCCTCTGTCGCCAGACGCGTCGGACGACGACGCTCGACGATGACGTTACTTTTTAAGCGATCGGTTGGTCGTTACGTAAGAGTGAAAATTATAATGGCAACGAACTGACGATGTATACAGTAAGACACATTGGTCCCGGTATTATATATATATATCGCTGTTAGAATTTTGGTGGGAATTTCAAATCGGCCAATATTGAATAGGAAAAAAATAAAATTTTTCCAAAGACAAAACGTGCACAGGGAAGTAATAAAAAGTCACGTAATCTTTGAAATTTTATTTATTTTTTTTTGTTTTATTTTATTTTTTTTTACTCATTGAGAAACAAGCCGTGAAGATGTCGCCACTATCGTCCTTCTCGACAATATTCACAGACGCACGAATTTACCGTCATGGACCTCATGCCGCGCGGTCTCCGCTCTTTTTTTTCTTTTCTTTTCTTTTTCCTCTCTCTTTCTCGCCTCTCTCCACTCCTACGCGATTCACTCGTCTACCGTCTCTCTTTCGCTCTCTCTCTCTCTCTCTCTCTCTCTCTCTCTCTCTCTCTCCCTCTCTACGTACTACACCGGTATACCACTTGGAAAAGCACCAGGACTCCGGGAAAGAGATGCCGTCGCTCTCTTAACGCTCTCTTCCCAGTCCTACCAAACGTACTGTCGCCGTCGTCCGTTGTAAACACATTTACATACGTGGTAATGCACGGGCGGCTACCACCATTACAACCACCACTACCTACCCACTTGGCTCGAGCTAACCGGGTGGTTACTTTATTACTAATTTTCGTGGTCCCTTCGGTGGGGGCACCACTCGCAGCCATAAGTGGCTAAACAAGACTAAGTCCTTAGTAATAATATTTGGGCGAGTTTTCAAGTAGCGACCAAGTCGGTAGCATTATTCCTCTACGACGTGGTTAACGCTTCACCTGCCATTTGGCAGGCAGATGTCTACGTCACTTCCGGATGAAAAAAAAAACCTGGTTCTCTCACGTTGCCGTACCCCCTCACCCTCCTCTTCGGCCCCCAGCTACCCCTAAGACCGCGTAACACGATCTTTCCGGAATCCAGGAAAAACCTTACCGACCCAACCCCATTCCGGTTTTGTCGCTTGCCCGTGGGTTACTCCGTGCGTTCGGAAAGTGATGGCGCGATCAAGGGACGCGTGAGAGCGAGAGAGAGGTCCTAACAAAGAGTAAACGATACTACCTTTTACTTTGCTCGAACCATCCAGCGTTATAGTCCCGTTTGAATTTCCGGGTTTTTTTTTCCTGATACTCCCTGGAAAAGAGATCACCTCGCGGATGGAAGCCCCATTGACCGCAGGACCCGCCGCAAAATTAAGAACTTCCGGTCGAGGAAAGGAACGACCAGCCAGGTCCCAGGAGACGGTCTCCTCCGGTGCCGCCATTGCATTTGGTCGTGGGTCTCTCCTGCCCTTGTATCCGTTCTTAGGTGCGTTTTCTTGGTTAGGTTTAGGTTCATTCATCCCATAGGAACGAAGCGCCGTACGGGGGGGGGGCCTGAATTTCAACTGGGTCTGTTGGGGCGTGATGTCTCTGTCTCTCTCGCGCGTGCGTTTTCGCTGCTTTTATCG